GATCACCTGGAGCCATACTACAATGTTGTTCACTTCGCCGCTTAGAGTTTAGGTTAGGGCACGTTTCTTTGGGTCACTTTGGAAAATTCGGTAATTCTAACCGTATTTGAGTGTTGTCGATTCTTTTCAGTTTCCATTCAGCGGAAGTAGGAAAAAGCATGTGACAAACAACGAATAGCCCCCTGTAGGATGGGGTAAGGTAGGTGCTGTCTCCTCATTCAATGAATAGAAAGTCACTCTCAGACGTTTTCTTGGACTGATTATGTAAGGGCAAAGCAGACGAATTAATACCAAGCATAATGACCCTAAATCACTTAAGAAATTCACACGATGCAAAAGAACAACCACTTGAGCGGGTAAATTTGTCCTTATTCAGAGCTGATCCAGATCTATTTAATAATGTTGAGAGCACGACTGTTCATTCCCATGCAAATCTTTTTGTTTCACGCGTTGCGCAACGTGAAAATATTTGCTTATGAGCTGTCTATCGTCGAGATGTTGATCACGTTGGTGTAGATTAATAATTAGCAAAAGAGAGATGCTTTTTGCTTTTACGAAGTTTGGCCAGTTTACGGATAATGGTCAATATCGTTCCATTGTTGTCACCTGTAATTTTTTAACGATTAATTTTTTTTGCGACTATCAGTTAAAGAGGGGGGCATTGGGGCCTATTAGAAACCGCAAAACCGTAGTTAAAATCATCCAATACCGAAAAACCGAAAAAAAATTCGATCAAAACCGAAAACCGCAGGCAAAACTGTCGAAACCGATACATTTTCATATCCCAGCTATTAAAACCCTGATCGATCCGATACAGTGGTGACAAGTGGAGCGTACAGAGTAAACTACACTAATTTCGTTACAGGATTTATGAATGCCATGGACTTGGCATTCGTATTTTCTAGTATCTGCTTATATTAACAGCTGCACTCTCGAGAACCTCGAGCGTGGTCTCTGCGGACTCAGCAGCTGGTAGGGGAGCCTAATTAAATTAAGGAAATTCGCACAAAAGTCCTCTTTAGAATTGCAATTTTGCAGTCGCTAAAAGCTATAGCTCTGGAAAGTTTCATCGAAAATCCCTAATCTAACATTTCCATTTGCGAACTAAGATCTGAACGTTTGGAGATTCTATTGGAATGTTGAATCTATCAGTCACATGTGGCCTGTAACTTGGTCACCAACTTCGAGGTGGCGTTGATAAAGAAACTCTGCAATGTTCCGTGCTAAACCGTACCCTACGTGTAGCTGTACCCTCCCCTCATGGTAACGTCTTCTTCATAACATTCGTATAAATGATATATCAAAATGAATCAAGTTACGGAAAGGGGATGTAAATGTTTTAATTTAATCATTCAGAAGCTAATGAACAAGTTATCAAACCCTCTGTAGTTGCCAAAGGCTCAATCTGGTGTTGAACTGAAAGAATCCTTGGCTATTAGAAAAATTATTATACATTCTAATTATCATTTTCTGCATCCTACATCCACGAGTTCACCATTGTGTCACTTTAATTTGCTTATAAGAAAACTTCTTTCAGGAGCTTAACTACAATGTTTCTTTCCCTGTTTTCATATTTTACGCAGCCTTCAATTTACGTCCCCTCTTCACTGATTGTCAGGATAAACCACATCGTATCCTATGCTGAAGACAGATTTCCTCATTTCCTTTTTGTTACTAGTAGTAAATAATTAGATCAAGAAGCGAGTTTAACATGGCAAATGTTCGAATCCAGGCTGATTTCATGCGAGCCAAACTTGCGGGCTAAGGACTCCAGCAAATCACAAGACTGAGATGACATAAAGTAAATACGGAGGGGAGAAGACATAAATTAAGTGAATGAGTCTCTTTACTTCTTCTTGGGAGCAGTTGTTGGGTTTTCATTTCCTTCTGGTGGCGACACGTTTCTCGATACATTTTTATGGAAGTAGAGGCAACGTAAAAGTTTCATTTAATCAGAGGAAGGGCAAGAGTTAAGCTAAAAAGTGCACTGAAAAAAAAGCCCCAAAAATGAACGAAATAATCTACAACATTGTCACTGCCTTTTTGATGTTTCTCTCAGTAATAATGTTTAAGTACTTCACCGTAAATATTTGATCGCAATTAATCTCTCGAACGTAACCAACACTAAATGAAGCAGAGAAGAGATTCATGAACAAGATCCACAAAGAAATGGAGAGAAAGATTTCAATTCTCTCGCTGTTTCCGTCACCAAGTAACTGGAATATTTTCTCCAGGACAAACGATGGTTGCACTATGAGACCAGTTAATGCATCAGTCACCGCTAGTGCTTAATAGCCCAACAAGAGGTTGCTGTTGGTTCGGAGTCATGCACTTGTTTTCACAGCCATTATTACCTGCAAGTTAAGCACAATTGTGAAGGGACAAGCGATGCTATTAATAATGATTATCATGACAAAATTAAACTACACTTGCGTTGCCTTCCGAGCTGGTCATAGTTGTGGCATTTGCAAAATCAAGCTCGAAGAAGTTGGTCAGTTCGATTGGCATGAATAATAAAGGTGAACGGATCAATGAACTCATCCTGTTGAATCGCAACTGTAATATTGAATTTGATAATCCACCACTTTGGTGAATGTTACCGTGACCACTTGAAAATTTCTACGCATGAATCACATAAATTGTAAGCCAGTTCGTTAAGCCGATTTGTGAATATACAGGTGATTCTTGTAGTTATTTATTATATATAACATAATTGTAATCATATAATGAAAGGAGTCTGCCAATCAAGCATCGTCCTGCAGCGATCAGACTTTCCACTACCCCACCTGCTCAAGAATATGTAAATCCAGAATTGGACTCATCAGTCATCAGAGGGCATGCCGCCCCCAGTAAGGACTTTCTTCCCACTGATCGTCGGACTACGAAGAATCTGCCATCATCATCATCATCATCATTTATCATAGAACAAACTTTTAGAACAATTTCAGGCTATCACCTTCAGCGGTAGCCATCTTTGAGAGATCATGACATCACCTCACGCGATTTTCTTAGCTTCATAGAAATACTCCGCTATTAACAGGCAACTTTTCTTAAAATTCGAATTCGAATTTGATGTACCACTAATTCAGAAGGCACCTGTTTTCTAACTTATTTTCCTATTTAGTCTTGAACCTTTTACACCTTATCATCAGTATGCATATTCTCCATACTGGTCTCTACACATTTCCTAATGTGCTTGCAAGGAGAATTTGTTTCACAATCAAGAGGTTCTTCAGTTAATTATCATTTCCTTTATTCTCATAACCTTGATGTTTGATTCATGGGTGATATTGAAAGGAGAAATTAGATGCTGGTCACTCTCATTTTGAGAGGTCTTTTGAGCGGCGATGTGGTTCTTGGTGATTCCAAGACTGTCTTCTGCCATTAATTAGGTTTTAAATTTTCTCTGCAACGGACCTTGGTACATCCGTAACTTTTTTGATTTTAAAGACTCAGCTTATAACTTAAGAAGTTGTGTTGTTAATATTAGCATGCCAAGGTTTAATCTTAACTGGATGAAGAACTCTTTCACTTACCAAGCCGCTTAAATCTGGAAATCACTTGAACCCGATTTAAGCAAAGGAGAACTATCCAAGTTTGCGACGTCGATTAAGAAGAAATCATTTTAATTCCATTTCTTATTTCATTTTATTGTAGCGTTTTTTATCTGGTATACTAGAATCAGCTTTTATATATTCCATTACATCCTAATATAGGGACATAATAATATAATCCTAATATAGGGACATTCGCAGTTGTACATGTTAGCTTTTTTATGATAAACCTACGTTGTTATAGATATATAACATATTTTTAATTCTGCATGTTTTAGGGCCATTTTACGTTATAACGTACGTATTTTGAACGAGCTTTCCAGCTCACTGGACGCTACGTGGGTAAATAAACGATTTATTGATGGATTGATTAATTGATTGAAATTTTTTTCGTTATAAAAATGACTTTAAATTTGATTTCGCCTAAAACTCCGGGGATACCGTGCGCCATCTGCTAATAACTATTTTATTAGGCCATTTGTCAACGCATCTATGGCATCGATCGAAAATAAAGTTAGTTTTGTGCTCAAAAGTCGTACTTGACGGTGGCATATTACATAATACAAGAAATCATGCCACAATTTCCTACAAGTCAATTTTTTTTTCTTTCCACTTTAAATGAATGACTATTGTTAACAAATTATCTGTTAGTAAGGGCCGACCAAAATACCAATTACAGCTGTAAGCGCCCGCATTTCGTAATTGTTTTTGTTCGTGCTTTTTGTCTAGTTTTCACTTTCTTGGACCTTTGGTTGCCTTGATCCGTCTCACATTCTGTGCTTTACTTGTTTCGTATGTTAGGTCTTATTTTGCATTTTATATGTCTTGGCTTGGGGAGTTCTAAGTCTGTTGAAGTCTATTGTAGCAGCAGCGTGTTCCAGTCACAACCCTCCTTTGCCGCTTTGCTTCGCTTATTTATTTTTTTTTTTGTGTGTCGATTCGTCTGTCACTGATGGTAAAAATAAACAGAGCACGTAAAGACATATGTGATAACAGCGGTATATCAATTTCGGAAGGTTGTAATTATCATCTGATCATTGGTCCATAAAGAATTTTCTATAGATTAATCATCAAATTGCTGGCCTATCAGAAATTCTCTGCGACTCGCAAAGCGACGTTCAACTTCAAGGGGAGACTACAAAATATAAGATAAGGTAGAAATAAAAACACGAAAGAGCCACAAAAGAAACTAAGAAGGAGAAAGAATGACTTAGGATGGAGAAGGTTGACATGAGTTATAGATGACAACAAAAATCTTGTAAAGGGGTACGTTTCCAAAGAAACTGCGGTGCTGCGTCGGTGGGAGAGTATAGCAGGTAATTTAGTGTTAACAACTGTGTTGAAAACGTAAATTTACGTTAAAAAGCTGACGTTTCGAGCGTTAGTTCTTCGTCAGAGCGATTGGAGGAATTGTGGGTTGTGTGTGGGT